TAACTCAAGTCTATATTGGTATACAACTGTATGTGTTTTAGTGCTATGACTGATGTTCTTTTTGTTACAAGTACTAATTACAAAACAAAATTAAAAAAAGAAAAAAAATGCCTTTATAAAGTTCTACATCAGTATAAACATGATAAATATGATAAAGGAACAGAATGATACATTTTGAATAGTCGTTATGTATTTTTTATGCATAAGGCTGTTTAATAACACTAATGTGATTTTTCTTTTTTGTACATCCTTTCTTCAATGGATTTTTTTTAGAGTCATCAAATAACCTCGTGAAATTATCAGATATAGAAAAATCATGATACTGTTATGCAATTATATAAGTACTTTTTTCAAAATATTTGGCTGTCGTGTCTTTACTTATTCATTCAACATCTATTTCATTTGTTTCCCTCATCGATTAAACCATCGCATCTATTTTGTTTTCGTTTTATCAGATTGTTCAATTTCTAACCTGTCTTTTATTTAAACCGGGTTGTACTAGCTTAAAATGTGGGTTATCTTATATTTGAGTAGCAGCAGATGTAAACAGTTCTTACAAACAAATATATGTTTCATAACAAGTGAGGTTTGGATATCGCTTGATATCAACTCTAGTAATTTAATTTCAATATAATAATAAACGAGCCTAAAATTAAATAGCTATTGTTTATTTTAAGCGATATCCAATATTCAAGAGTTGTTTAACCTATTTATCTTATGTTTAACATTATCATTGTGTTAAATTAAAAGAAATCCGTGAATCGTTGATTTCTTCTTTTACACATACTAGTGAGACGTCCTATGTCCTGTTCGGCGTCACAGTTAAACATCATACGCTTCACAATGTAATTAAAATTTGACATATAGAAGATTTTCAGGTAAAAAGTGCTAGTGGTTTATATATTATCGAAGAAATCGCATATGTTGCCATGAACGAATTACACATCATCGTAACCTTTGAAAGTCATCAATGATTTAACGAATAGCCGATGAAAATGTAATATCGTCGAATGAAGCTGGATAAACCAATCAAATTTACCCAGTTTTCGTGTCACTTTTTCGTATTCGACTCCGTGCAATGTGAAACGAGAAATATCTCTTCATGCAAGAAAAAGATACCAGGCCACAACCATAAGAGAAATATTAATAATTTGTTCCCATTATTGTATTTATGGTATACTAAATCCATATTGTATGTTAATTATCTAATACTTGTTAAGCATATTATACTTCATTCAGTAACAGTTTTTGAAATCATTGTTGATTAATTCTATGAATACATTTTCTAAGAGTTAATTGTAAACATAATATTGAACAACCGAGATAACTTTGTCATAGCAAAATGTTCTAGGGACACAGATATATTGCTAGAAGTACAGGATATAAACTCAAATATATTTTAGAAAAGGTGGTGTCAAAATCCAAATCTAGCGGGATGACACACCATTACAATAAGAACGGAACATATGCACACACACAAAAACATACACGATAAGCAAGCACTCAGAATACTTGCCAAAGTTCGTTACAAACATATATTGGTACAAACGAATTAAATCAGATTTAAAAAGAACACCAATTTGTCATATTTAAATAGAGCTGACTTAAACATGAACATATATACTTTTGTTTTACACGTATCGAAACAATCGGACTAGGAAGTACTGAGTATACAAGTTTAAATCCTTTTCCTAGTTAACAAACTTTCCAGTGGTTATCAGCGTCTCTTTGTTTTTGTTCTTTAACAAAGATATGATGGTGATTTTAGATCTTTGGTTTTCCTTATCGATATCTGTAGGAACACCACACGGTTCGAAAGTTTTGTTTGTATTGTTACCTCTAAATCTCTATTTTTGTAAGTTTGCATAGCGTTTTTTTCTAAAAATGTTCATATGTACCACCAATATTTTTCAATTTACGCGCTTCTAATGGAATTTTTAACACATTTGTCCATACAGGTGCATGTACCATCACCAACATTTTATAGGTGACTATGCGGTATGGGTTTCTCATTGTTGAATAAAGTACGGTTGCCTACAATTTCTTACATCCACTTCATTTGATCTTTGGTTGATCGTTGTCTCATTGGCAATCATACCACATTTCCTTATGTTTATATATAATCAACATATTTATCCTTTAATAGTACATAAACATGTTTTTAACATTCAACAAAGTCGCTCATGTTTTACAGTATACAGTTCACGTCTGACCGTTACCTAGGATTCCTACTCAACCAGATACCATTGCATCAGTAAAATAAAAAGATCAAATGTATCACGCAATCTCAAACATTTAATATATAAGTTCTCTGTTTTTGCAGTTTTAGTTAACAATTTGTCAATTCATATCTGAAGACTAACAATAAAAAGGAAGGCCAATTTCTAATGAACCATTATTAATACACAGGCTTCAAAATATTGAACAACACGAGCTGCACAAAAACGACATTTAGCGAACGTGCACTGGAAGAATCAAACATTCCAGCTTTTGTATTCATCCTACCATATAGCAACTCCGAACCACTCATATATCGGGAAAAGGTGAATATGAGTAGTATGTATTAGTAGGGTGCAACATTGTTTGCTTGGGTAGATATTGAAAACAATTGCTTTAATCTGTAATGTATCATCTGTAGCAAAAGTGTTACAATCTATAATATCATTCCTGACTTATCATGCAAAAGCAGAGCAACGACAGGAATAAATGCTATTTTTCGCAGGTAATACACGTGTTTATACATGTTTTATTCTACAATTGCAAAAAAACTAAATTAGAAAAGGTGGTCATGCAGAAACCGCTGCTATTTTTTTTCTTTCAAAAAATCTACTTAATGTAAAGCGAACTTCAACAATGACCTTTTGACCCACATAACTTTCGTTTCTGACGTATGGAAAAAGCGACGACTATATGATACATATTTGTTTTTGGAGAACATTTAAGTTTTTGTGACCTTTAAAAATGCTATCACATTTTTGTTTATACATAACAATGTAAATTCAATTGTCAAAGGATAGTTCGAACCTCCTTGGGTCATTCGATGACCATTATTAAAAAAACCTTTTGTCAGGAGCTCTGAAGTCGACATATTTTGTGTTACGTGTCTCTGTTATAAAGTTTACACAATCAAAATGCATACGTTTTGAGGATATCAAGGGGTACGACATACTGGAAGAGACATTCTATACTAGACATTTCTCACCTACAGGTTGACAATTTTCAGTCCAAAGATGACTTTTCTAATTTCCAAATTGACATTTCTCACTTCCAAGTTCCCTTTTCGAAATTCAAAGTTGATAAATATGTTACTTCTAAGTTAATATTTCAGATTTTAGATGTGAGAAATGTTAACTTGGACCTGAGAAATTTCAACTTGAACATGAGAAATATCAAGTTTGAAATGGCAATCGTTAACAACCAAATGTCTTTACTGGTCTTTCGTAAGGGGGCAATTAAACACTTAGATAGGTGTAATACCACCAAATCATAGTACGTCACATCCGGTTGCATACACAAATTTGACAGTTTTAGGAAATTAATCCTACATTTCATTGCAATAAAACATATCTGAGTCATAAACATATATCTTGGATGTTTCAAAGCACCATTCCTTTTTTATTTGATGTTTCTATGGAATATTTTGGAAACTTGAGGTTGCATGGTTACTAAAGCTTGTAAACAGGAAAGAAAGGGGTGGAAATTTGATTGGTTAACTTCCAGTGATGGTTATTATCTTATATGCAATGAAATGTTATTTGAATTTTTGTCCGTATTACTGGATGGGATAAAACTTTACTCATGTCAAGTATTTCTTTATTTGAAACAAAGATAAATTCTGCACAATTTTTTTTAAAAAGTGCAAATTTAACAAAGACGAATAGGGGAAAAACAATGGTGATATTACACCTAGATAAACAGTGACACACAATACACAAACAACAAAGTATTTAGCATCACAAACCACATCATTAAGGAAAATTATTTGATGTCCACTTTACTGAACATATACACTAGCTTCCTCCACATGGTCACATTGAAATCCAAACACATCCAAATCAGGTTGTAATTAGAAAAAGATAACAAAAATAAATAAATAAATGACCAAGTGAGGATTTATGCGTGACATAACGGGTGTGCCCTTCCCTAAAATCGGAAAAAAATTCATTTGTTGACATACAAAGTAAAAAATGTGATGGCAAATATTACAATCAACAAATTATATCAACAACAGACTTAGGGGTGTGTGGACGCTAGATCTGATAATAACTTTAGGTTTGAGTAGTTTTTTGCTGAAGACCTTCCATTTACTGTCAGATTGAATAAAACCATTAAAAGTTCAGCTTCATTGAAATAGTGATTGCTTTCTAGTATCTCATTAAATTGTTGTCAGACACATCCATACCCTATTTCTTCTTTTCCAATTTATAGATACATTAAAAAAGGAATAACAGAAAAAAAACATATTCATCATGTTAATAGCTTTAAAGATGAAGAAATAAAAAAAACACACAAACCCATACTCAATTTCCCTCTGCCACGGATCATTTTACTATTCAAATTTTGACCAAAAACGTTTCTAAATTACATGTAAGTGCACTTAATTTGGGGGTTGTTGTTTGAAAATGTAGCATGCGTATCTTAAAATAAAAACTATATATGTGTATACACAGAACATTACGCCAGACATTGCTTGTATCTATATCATCCGTTGGAGTACTTAATAAATAATAGTCTGGATCAAAATGTCAGGGTCAAGTGGCAATTAAAGGTTCTGTAAACTGGATTTCAGTCATGTAATTCTACCGTAGGTGTATTCGGTAGGCGAAAAAAATCCTTCTCTCAAGACAGATTTATTGCTGTGATTAACAGGAAATATGACGTATACGACAAAGAGACCCAAAGACAAAGATTTCAGGCCACCCTATTACGAACAATATTACTTTTGTCAATCATTGCTTATAGTTTACACAAAAAGTAATTTCAGTAAAAAAAACAACAACTTGAAGTGTATTATTTTATTTTGATGCTGATCTTCTGCATCTTTTCTGTATTTCTCATCTCGCTTATGGTTTGACTGAAAAACAAAAATAATGTATTAGAATTTCAAAGTGATTAACATTTCAACTGACGTTCCCATGCATTGATGTTATGCAGTTTCAGTGTCGTCGTAAATGACGTCTTAACCAATCAGAACGTTAACGCAATTACTTCCCATAATATAATACCAGTTCTGAGTTGATTAATTTTTTAAAGCTTTTCAAAAATGAAAAAATAAAAATTGTAATCCAGAGTACTTAATAAAAAAATTATTTTTTTTATATCTTGACAATAAAAATTTATAAAATCTTATTGCTGATGGACAAAATAATGATTAGTTACCTAAATATATCGAGTTTCTCCAGGCTGCTCCACATTTTCGATTCGATTCTCCACGACATGCTGCGTTACAATTAGATTCTGGTACCCTTGGATACTTTTTGTTTGTTAATTTATTTCCACAAAGGCAGTGGTCACTATTCTGAAATTGAAAAGCAAAAAACAATTGTATTTTTTGTAAACAATAATTAAAATATGCTAAGTTAAATGTAATCTCGGAAAACAGGAAAAATCACACGTATCTCATAGATATGAAAAATAAAATAATTATCAGATAAATTATGCATATATTATTAACAAAATATATATACTTTTAAATTATAGTGTCATTGAAAGAAATATTTACCTTGACTTATGTTTGAGATTTAGATATCTAAAAACGTGTGTGTTTTTTAATTTCAATCCGAATGCAAAAGCATATTTTATATGACGTCATTTGATTTGTTCTTTTATCTTAAACAGTTGGTTGTGAAATCAGACTTACCTGCAAACCCGTGTATTTATAGCCTTTGCAATGTTCACGACATTTTACCAAAGTTATAGAGTTCCCAAAGTACTTTATTCTATGCTTGAGATGTCTCCGAGAATCATCTAAGTAACATCCAATGTAACCTACAAAATAAACAATAACATTTTTTCAACTGATATAATAAAATGAATCTGATCAGAATTGCTAGACTATACTCCTTGTCATTATTTCTCACAGCATTTCCGAACGCGTTCTCTTTTGTCGATCTGTGATTCTAGATTTAATTGCAGAAATTCTGTTGCTATACACATTGGAAACGGCCCTTATCTTATAATTATTACAAATTGAAAAACGAAAGGTTTGCAACGGGTTTAGAAATACTAATACAACTTTAGTATTTAGTTCAAATAATAATTATCAGATTATGATACTGGCCACTCCTATCTCCAATATGTATACACGAGTGTCTTTATTGTATCGAGTCATGCATGTACTTTAAATTATCTTTATGAACAATAGACAAAGTATACTACCACAAGCTGATCCTTTAAAGATACCGAATTGTAATGGTATTTCTTACCCTGTTATAAAACCCTTGTATCTTCTTAGATGATATGTCGTATTGAGACAGTAATTAAATAGACCGTATACATATTCAAAAACTTGTCAGTGAAGTTTTCACGCAGATTGCATTAAAACTGAAACGTATAGAGTACATATTTATAATTATAATGCCCGCATGCAATGATTGAAATGTTGTTGAAAATTTTCTTTAATAATGGATACAAACCATCACTAGCCGGACCAGCCAGTTGGGCTGTTGCTTTTTGCAAACCATTGACAGCTTTACTAAGATCTGTGAGCTTGGATTTAATTGCAGAAACGCTGTTGCTATTATCTTTCGAAGCTGCTATTATTTTGTTCAATTTGTCCTGTTGGGAATCCTTCACTTTTTTAATCGAACCATGGACCGCTTTACCAAGATCTGTGACCTTTGATTTAACTGCAGAAACGCTGTTGCTATTATCCTTCAAAGCTGCTACTATTTTGTTCAATTGGTCTTGTAGGGAATCCTTCACTTTTTTAATCGAACCATGGACCGCTTTACTAAGATCTGTGAGTTTTGATTTAACTGCTGAAACACTGTTGCTATTATCCTTCGAAGCTGCTATTATTTTGTTAAATTGGTCCTGTTGGGAATCCTTCACTTTTTTAATCGAACCATGTACTGCTTTACTAAGATCTGTGAGCTTTGAATTAACTGCAGAAACGCTGTTGTTATTATACTTTGTAGCTGCTATGATTTCGTTCAATTGGTCCTTTTGGGAATCCTTCACTTTTGTAATCGAACCATGGACTGCTTTAATAAGATCTGTGAGCCTTGATTCAATTACAGAAACGCTCTGGCTACTATCCTTCAAATCTGCTTTTATTTTGTTCATTTGGTCCTGTTGGAAATCCATCACTTTTTCAATCGAACCATTGACGGTTTTACCTAGATCTGTGAGCTTGGATTTAATTGCAGAAACGCTGTGGATATTATCATTCGAAGCCGCTATTATTTTGTTCAATTGGTCCTGTTGGGAATTTATCACTTTTTCAATCGATTTTAATTTTGAAGATAAAACCTTGTCATCATTATCATCTAATAAGAAACCACGAATTGGTATCTTATTTGGTGCATTCAATGAAAAACTGACCCCTTTTCGTTTATTTAAACCGGTAACTATTACAAATTCTAAGAGTGCAACGATCATTACTAAGTTCTTCATTCTGTTGATCGATGCTGAAAATATCAAGAATTCACTGTTTTATCATAAGCAAAACTAATATGCATATGGCATGTCATGTTATTGATTACGAAAGCGGCTGTTTTGTGATATATGATATATCTATGAATTGTATTTGCATCTTGGAGTAAAGGTTACATGAAATAAATTATTTCATAATAAACAGGAAATTCATTTAAGACACTGTCTGCATATTTGAACATACTACGATATACAACGGCCTTTCAACACAAAAATACAATATGCACAAATATTAAACGGAACAAATCGATAAGCACCCTCATATAAACATTCAGCTAAGACAAGAAGCTCTATTGTTGTATATCACAGTTAATTTTAAGGTTTAAATTTTAAATAAGGATGAACAGAGATACTCATTTATCACTTTATTTTCATTGCCGGCGTACATTTTGTTGTTGACCTCATCAAAACAGCTAATGGCCTTTTCAAGATTTATCCTACTACTTCGATTTAAGGAGTCCTACGACTGCCTTTGTGTCCATGTAACTTAGTATGACATAAAGTTTGCTGTTGTGTATATGTGCACGTCGTGTTGTTGCTCTTCGATATGTTGGTTTTCAATCTGTAAAGTTTCTTACAGAGCGCTTAAAAATACAATTGAATTGTAAACTTATTATTACTAGTTACAATTGTAATATATGACTGTTCGGTGTGAGCTGAGGCTCCGTGTTGAAGACTGCACTTTGACCTATAATGGCTTACTTTTATAAATGTTGACTTGGACGGAGAGTTGCGTCATTGGCACTCATACCACATCTTCTTATATATAATTATACATTTGTACTTATCATAATTTACATGTTGTCGAACTGCATAACTCTATTGATAATAACTGCTCGAATTGGTTTGTTCTATCTTGTTTGAACGATTTATTAATAATTTATTTGAGAAGAAGGTTAGGGCTTTTTATCTCCATTTACCTTTTTTCCACGTCAAACCGTTTCAGCAGGTATACATATATTGTTTTAAAGTTATTTGTCTTAACATATGAGCACAGGGAGAACGCTTATTTCATCCATCCGGCGGCTGAAACAACTTCATCTAAGTCGAATGAACGCTATGCAATTATATTCTATGCAATAGAATATTCATTAGGTCCTGATAAAGTTATGCACAACTGCATATAATCCAGGACGAAATGAAGAATAATTTCATGATACACTACTTATTACATGGTCACCGTATTTTTTGGTAATGATTACTACTCTATCGTTTTACATATTCTTACCAATATTAATATTGTCATTACGGATAGCATTATATGTAGATATTGTTTATTTATTGGTATGTAAGTTTGAAAAAATCGATTTTATATCTATTTATTTCAAATAATATGCGTTATGTATTGTCTGTCAGACGAATCGTTCTGACAGGGTAGTTACTTTGTGCTACTCATTATATTCATTATTATTATCTCAATACTTGACTCCATGCATAAGACACACCAAAGTATTCCTGTAATATTTATTTATGTTAATCCTCTTATGTTTATCATTTTGAATATTTGTTAAAAAAAACAACGATTTGATGATTCCTAGAAAAAGATATTTTACATACAAAAACATGTTGATATATTTTTCTTTGTTTTTTTTTCAAACAAGGAAGTCGATGTTATTTACGATTTGTAAATTTGATATGCTATATGCGAAAATAATTTTGATGTAGTAATTTAATATGATATCGATAAATTAACACGCACTCTATTCTTGATATATTATTTTGTTTTGTAAAACAGCTATGCAACCTCCGCTACAGAGTGCTAAGAGAACTGTCTTATTCTTCTCTAAAAATAATTACTCGATAACTTGAATTTACTTTATTGTAAAGAATGTTTCACGACAGATTACTGACATAATTAATATGTATGTAACCAGTCTTGACATCTTCCTTATATTCTTGAATTTTCTGAATATTGCTCGACAAATTTTTGATGCATTTATTTTTCTAAATTTGTCTCGACATATTCTAGTTATTGTTGACATCAGCATTATTTTTTTTTTACATTGAGTTGATCTATTAAAGAAGATGTCTTTTGAATATTTGTTTTTTTGTGTTGTGTTTACCTCAAGTCCTATTTTATTTATATTTGGAATTCGACTAAATCATCCAAAATATACAAAAAATAATTCCAACTTAAAAAACAAGTCAACAAATAACAAGGGGACAATCAATACTCTGTCCTAACATTCAAAGTCACCATTACCATTACACTTAATGTAAAAACATAAACTGTCATCTATGCTTGTCTAAAATATGGCTTTGTTCTGTAATATTCAGAATCATGATACATTAGAATCATGACATGCAATATATAGGTAAACTGAACCAGTTGACCGGTACAATGCCAACATTATTCCTCTAACGCTATACAGTATAGTAATATGACAACAGAGAACTGATTGTCTTGATTGACGTTGTCAGTTTGTTTTCGATCTATGAGTTTGACTGTCCCTCTGGTACCTTTCGTCCCTCTTTTTATGAATGTTATTCGGATGATGTAAAACGCTGCAGCTGAGGTTAAAAATGAGGAATATGTTTTAAAGAAGAGTCTATCAGTCTGGCATGGTCAAGTTAAAAAACCAACATTGAAATTCATAAATACAATTAAAAAAAAAGGAGATTCATCCCATAAAAGAGGACGCTTTATAGCATATACACTCAATTTGAAATAAAATCTCACATCATTGCTTCCGAAACGTCATTATTCGTGCTAAAACATCGCATTTATTTAATTTATCACTCGTACAAGAACATAAAAAACATTAAATTTATCATTTTTAATAGAATATGGCAAACATTTAATCTATAATTTGCGGACTTGACACGCAAATATTTTTTGCAGTATTGTATTGTTGCATACTCTCCTTTTATAAAGGATTAAAGCTTCTTAACCAAAGATACATTTCATATCCTTGCTACAACCAATGTATTAATACCACATCTTATCTGAAATACCTAGTTTAAGTCATTAATATATAATATCAACCAAAGCTTTACTATCTACAAAACAGTTAAATTATATCTCAAACCCAAATCTCGAATAAAAGTAATCAAGTTTTTGTATAACAAAAATCCTTGGTGTAATTAATAAAACACACATTGTTATAATTAAAACACCAGAAATGTGAATAAAATAGTGCAATTCCATGGATAAAAAATCTACTTTTTTTTGTAATCACTATCATTATTTTCTCAAATGAAGTTTTTTTTTAGTAGATTTAAATGTAGAGGTTGTTCTTAAGTCATTCAGTTATTTTAATTTTCCATTTTGTTTTAAATAACAAAACTGGATTTGATGCAAACTGGGAGAAGCTGGCACCTTTGGAAAGGGGAAATATTGTGTGTATTATATGAATTGTGGATACTCATATTCTTCAACAGAAACTTTCCTGAATATTCAAACATATATTTTAAAACTCCAAGTGTTAATTATCAATAAAAATTACAAAAGTATGGATAATGATGGAATAAAACATTTCAATACCCATTTGCAATTATACATATTTTGTGTTCAACTATGTCGTAGCTTTTGTCTACTTTCATACATGTATGACCAACTTCTGCATACAATGCTTATTGGCATTTAACAAATACATTAACTAGGACAATTATCAATGAAAGTATGGAATTCAGAAGAATACGTATGATGTTTATGAAATGGTGCGTAAGGTAATAATCATCTTTGCATGAAGGCTTTACATGAAGTTGCAATGTTTATGGCTATGATCATTCTGCTCTATAGGAATAACTCAATTCTGAATTTAAGCACAAAGGCAAAAAAAGCAAAAACATAAGAAAGAAATACATGTGAAATTCAAAGCTCAAATGCTCAGGAATATTAAAATCTGAGGTTTAACATGTTTAAAACATAATTTACATAAACATAACATTTAAACTTTATGGGTAAAATGTTATGTGGGTTTTAATGAAATTATACAGCAATCCATTTACAAATAAGTATAAAAGACAAGCAGAAAGTAAAATAACAAAAATACAGAACTCCAAGGAAAATTCAAAACGTAAGGTCCCTTATCAAATGGCAAAATCAAAAGCTCAAACACGTCAAACGAATGGAAAACAACTGTAATATTCTTGACTTGGTTCAGGCATTTTCTAAAGTAGAAAATAATGGATTAAACCTGGTTTTATAGCTAGCTAAACCTCTCACTTGTATGACAGTCGCATATAATTCCATTATATTGACAACAATGTTTGCGGGCAAAACAAACAGACATAATAGGTAAATAAGTCAAAAATTGGAATACAGCAGTCAACATTGTGTTATAATCGTAATCACTATAAATACATACAACTATGTCAACAAAAGAAAAACAGAATAAATTGAAAGACTATGCACACATTTCTTGCTGTATGTTACCAGGAGAAACTTGCATGGCGCAAGTAAATACTTCAAGTAAATTAAATATGCATATGTTAGCTTATATAGCAGCATACTGTTGTTTCTAAGCATTTGTCAACTCTTCATTCTCCTTATCAGTCTTTGACATAATACTCTTGAAAAAGAAAATCCTTCTATTTTGAAGGATTTCGACTAAAACTTCAATTAATTATATTCCGCGTACATAACACACTGCATTTAAATATAATACCATACAAAGTAAAATATAGAAAATATAGAAATCATGAAGGGAAAGTCCCTTATCAAATGCAAAATAAAAAGCTCAAACAAATCAAACGAATGGGAGACAACTGTCATATTCCTGACTTGGTACAGGCATTTCCTTATTTAGAAAATGGTGGACTAAACCTTTATTTATAGCTGGCTAAACCTGTTTTCTAGATCGATGAAAGGTTATTTCATCATTTTATGTTAATATCAATTTCCAGTTTTCTTATCAATGAAATTGTCATTTGTTATATAATCTTTACAATGACGTTTCTTTTAATTCTATAGGTGTATGATTAAGATATCAAAAAGGTCTACTTACTTTGCATT